GGTTCAGGCAATTCTCCTGCCTCAGCCTCCCGAATAGCTGGGATTACAGGCACCCGCCACCGTGCCTGGCCAATTTTTATATTTTTAGTAGAGATGGGGTTTCACCACGTTGGCAAGTCTGGTCTCGAACTCCTGACCTCAGTTGACCTGCCTACCTCGGCCTCCCAAAGTGCTGGGATGACAGGCATGAGCCACCGCGCCTGGCCCAGGACTTTATCTTGTTCCCACGTGTCCTCAGTGTCTGAACAGACTACCTTGGGAGGTGCATGCAAAATGATCTCAGCCTGCTTACAGGGTGGGCACCTGTGTGGAATCGGGGTCCCTGATCCCATGGGAATAGGTGCCGTGCTTCAGAGCTGGCCCCCCTGGCCTGCCATTTCCAAGCTACCCCATCTGGCATCAGCAGCACATGGCCTAGGAGATGATATACGTGGCATCCTCTGTTCTCTTTCAGACAAAGGCCTCAGCGAGGACCCGCGGCCCGAGGAAAGGCCCGTGGAGGGTGAGACCCTGTCTGCCCCCCACATTTCACCCCCAGCCCCACCCCATCTCTCCTCCCCTGTCCTCCACCTCCCCTTTGGCCTCTGGGTCTCTGCCTTCTCTCCACCCATCTCTCTCCAGCACCCTGGTTTGGGGGTGGGAGTCCTGTGGGCTGCCTGAGGTGGGAGGAGATTCAAGGACCTGTCCTCTAGAACCAGGAGGTACCTGGTCAATGGTACACGCAGCTGCCCCTGCTGAGGAAAATTGCAAGGCTTAGTTTTTATGACACACATTGCTGCTTTCCGCAAACGTTTTAAGACTGAGAACTGAGCCTCTTCTATCAGCAAGTAGAATTGAGGCCTGAAAGCCCAAAATTGGCTTTGTGTCCAGCAGACACGCCCATTCTCAGGAACGTGAGAATTCCCTCCCTGCTGAGGATGGAAGTAGGAGAGAAAGAGAGGGGAGTCAAGGTGAGGGTGGGTCTGGAGTATCCTGGAATGGAATGAGTGAGTGTCAGAGGAGAGAATGTCACTTCCCCAAACCCAGCCTGGCAGGAGGAACTGTGACGTCTTAACACAGTTCCACTGCCACCTGGTGGCAGCGTGCTCAATTTGCAGGCTTAGTGCGTACCCGCTAGTTCTCAGTCACAATTCTATACTCAGTCACATACCTAGAAAGACCCATGGTTACTCCTAGTTCACAGAACCTTCCAAATCTTCATTCAGGCTGGCAGTGCCCTAGATTTGGTTTCACAAACAAGCATGTGAGCCCAGGCATTGTCAGGTCTGCCTGTGCTGTTTCTGAGACCGTAAGTTCCCCACCGCCACCGCCCCAGCCTTCCCCCATTCCAAGATCCCACCCAGGGCCAATCTTGGTACCAGCAGAGCTGGGACATCAGCTGAGAAGCTGCCACCAGAGAGGCGCCACAGACTGCCTTTTGCCTTCCAGACAGCCATGGTGACGTGATCCGTCCCCTGCGGAAGCAGGTGGAGCTGCTCTTTAACACGCGATATGGTGAGCAAGCAGTGGGACAGGGTCTGGGGGCGTCCTGGCCCCCCCGCCAGCTGCGCTGTTAACAGAAAGGGCTTTGGACCCACCCCCTTGCCCATTCTCAAACCAGCTGCTCTCTGGGCAGGGACAAGGGAGGGAGGGATGGGAGGAGCTGGGACCCACCATCAGGATGGGGACACTAGAGGGGCTTCCAGTCAGGCTCCCTGGCTCACTCACTTACGCTCTGCCTCAGCCGCAGGTTGGAGGCGACTCCCTCCCCTGTAGCATTGCCAGCCTCTGCCGTCACGCTCACTCAGGGTCCTCAGGAAGACTCAATAAGAATAAGATCAGATAACTTCAAAGCTAGGTGCCTCACCACATTCTCTTTTTTTTTTTTTTTTTGAGATGGAGTCTCACTCTGTCACCCAGGCTGGAGTGCAGTGGCGCCACCTCGGCTCACTGCAACCTCTGCCTCCTGGGTTCAAGCCTCAGGCTCCCAAGTAGCTGGGATTACAGGTGAGGTAATTTTTGTATTTTTAGTAGAGACGGGGTTTCACCATGTTGGCCAGGCTGGTCTTGAACTCCTGACCTCAGGCGATCCGCCCGCCTTGGCCTCTCAAAGTGCTGGGATTACAGGCGTGAGCCACTGTGGCCCAGGCCCCCACCCCGTCCTCTTGTATCCCATTTCACAAAATCCCCATGTCCTAAGACCCATTTTACAGAAGGGAAATGAGGCCTGGTAAAGGGAGGAGACTTGTCCCAGGTCCCACACTATTTGGTGGCAGAGATCGGGCTCATTCCAAAGCGTGGTGTTGCTTCTGGTGACAGGAGGGACACTCGGGGGTCTTACTGGAAAGGTGAGGCCCAGTGGACTTAGGGGGAAGCGATGTCAAATCTCGGCAGCCATTAGTGGTGGCTTCTGTGCTACCTGGGCATGAGGGCATGGACCCAGCGTGGGCTTTGGGGTACCCCTGGTTTGAGTTCTTCTCCCCTGGCTCTGCTGTTCAGTGGCTCTGTGACCTCAGACAAGTCACGTCCCCCCTGAGCTCCAGGTTCCTTTCCTGTGGCTGGGGGACTACTTTTTCCACCTCCCAGGAAGGCTGGCAGGCTCTCAAAAGGGCTCTGGCAGCTTTGCCCCGCCCCCCGCACAGGCACGGGACACAGGGGTTGAGGCTCCTGGCCCTGTGGCACCGGGAGGCCCGACAGCAGCCCTGTCTCTGCAGCCAAGGCCATTGGCATCTCGGAGCCCGTCAAGGTGCCCTACTCCAAGTTTCTGATGCACCCAGAGGAGCTGTTTGTGGTGGGGCTGCCTGAAGGCATCTCCCTCCGCAGGCCCAACTGCTTCGGGATCGCCAAGCTCCGGAAGATTCTGGAGGCCAGCAACAGCATCCAGTTTGTCATCAAGAGGTAAGGCCCCGCCAGGTCCGCAGGAGACAACACCAGGCCTGCTCAGAGCCCAGGAGCAGCAGCAAATTGCCATCAAGCAATTCTCGTGCCTCAGCCTCCCGAATAGCTGGGACCACAGGTGTGTGCCACCATGCCTGGCGAATTTTTGGGGGATTGCGCACGCGTGCGTGCGTGCGTGCGTGCGTGTGTGTGTGTGTGTGTGTGTGTGTGTGGTTTTTCTTTTTTTAGAGATAGGGTCTGGCCACCTTGCCAAGACCATTCTCAAACTCCCGGACTCAAGCCACCTCCTGCCTTGGCCTCCCAGAGTGATTACAGGCGTGAGCCACTGTGCCTGGCCACTATTTCTTTCCTTCCCTCCCTCCCTCCCTTTCTTCCTTCCCCCCCCTTCCTTTCTTCCTTCCTTCCTTCCCTCCCCCTTCCTTCCTTCCTTCCTCTTTCTTTCTTTCTTTCTTTCTTTCTTTTTCTTTCTTTTTCTTTCTTCTTTCTTCCTTCCTTCCTTCCCCCTTCCTTTCTTCGTTTTACAGGCGTGAGTCATTTCGTCCGTCCTTTTTTCTTCTTTCTTTTCTTTTCTTTTTTTGAAACAGTCTCACTCTGTCTCCCAGGCTGGAGTGCAGTGGTGCAACCTCTGCCTCCTAGTCTTAAGCGACTCTCCTGCCTCAGCCTCTCAAGCAGCTGAGACTACAGGCGTCCGCCACCATGCCCGGCTCAGTTTTATATTTTTAGCAGAGACGGGATTTCACCATGTTGGCCAGGCTGGTCTTGAACAACTGAACTCAAGTGATCTGCCCACCTTAGCCTCCCAAAGTGCTAGGATTACAGGCGTGAGTCACCGTACCAGGCCTTTCTGTTCTCTTTCCTTTTTTTTTTTTTTTTTTTTTGACAGCAAGGTGTCAGATGGGTTCTGGCTGCAGCTGGCAACCAGGAGGCTCCCCAGGCCTGCCGGACCCAACGCACTCGAGCTGACCGCCCCTACAGTCTCAGGAGAGGGGTGTTCAGTTTCTGTCTGCTCCAGGGTTCTCCAGGCAGGCGGGTCGCTGTCCTGGGCCAGGGGCTGGGGCAATGCCCCGTTTCCCCAGAATGGTAAGGGCTGGCACGGCTTCTCCAGGGTCTTTCTGTTTCCTTGGGCATGTTGTGTTTTTGCCAGTGAGGGCCCGGGGCAGCACCCGTGGATATACCCTGTGTGCCCAGCTGGGATAAAAAGTCCCTTTGGAGAAGATAGTGGCAGTTATTGAATGAAAAGCTGGTTGGGGGATGTCGGGAGCAGTGGCTCATGCCTATAATCGCCGCGCTGAGGAAGCTGAGGTGGGAGGGTTGCTTGAGCCCAGGGGTTCAAGACCAGCCTGGGCAACACAGCAAGACCGTGTCACTACAAAAATGTTTTTTTAAACTCTGGTGTGGCAGCATGTGCCTGTAGTCTCAGCTACTCCGGAGGCTGAAGCAGAAGGTTCACTTGAGTTCAAGACTGGCATGGGCAACATAACAAGATCCCATCTCTGCAAAATAATTTAGGCCAGGCACGGTGGCTCACGCCTGTAATCCCAGCACTTTGGGAGTCCGAGGTGAATCACGAAGCCAGGAGATCGAGACCATCCTGGCCAACATAGTGAAACCCCAACTGCTAAAATACAAAAAATTAGCCAGGTGTGGTGGTGCGTGCCTGTAGTCACAGCTACTCGAGAGGCTGAGGCAGTAGAATCACTTGAATCCAGGAGGCGGAGGTTGCAGCGAGCTGAGATCGCACCCCTGTACTCTGGCCTAGCCACAGAGCAAGACTCCATCTCAAAAAAAAAAAAAAAAAATTAGCCAGGCGTGGTAGCATACACCTGTAATCCCAGCTACTCGAGAGGCGGAGGCAGGAGAATCGCTTGAGCCTGGGAAGTGGAGGTTGCAGTGAGTCAAGATTGCACCACTGCGCTTCAGCCTGGGGGACAGAGTGAGACTCTGTCACAAAAAAATAAAATAAAAAAGGAAGATCGCATCTCAGGCAATTTAAGGATAAACTCGAGACAGACATAGAGCCCGTGAGACGTGTGAAAACGTAGGGAAATAAAGACTCAGCAAGAGAATGTGTGTAATTATAGTCCAGTAATTGGCTCTACTATATACGTGTATAGTACTGTACTTGTGGAAGGAGAGCCTCCTTCAACATATTCCCGGCTGGGCAACGTGGTGGAACCCTGTCTCTAGGGAAAGAAAAAAAATTAGTCAGGCGTGGTGGTGTGCACCTGTCGTCTCTGCCATTCGGGAGGCCGAGGTGGAGGCCGAGGCTGCAGTGAGCCATGATCGCACCACTGCACTCCAATCTAGGTGACAGAGTGACACCAGGTCTCAAAAAATAAATTAAAAAAAAAAAAACATTCTGGCCGGGCATGGTGACTGACACCTGTAATCCCAGAACTTTGGTGGGCCAAGGCAGGGGTTCACGAGCTCAGGAGTTTGAGACCAGCCCGGCCAACACGGTGAAACCCCGTCTCTACTAAAAATACAAAAAATTAGCGAGGCATGGTGGTGCATGCCTGTAATCCCAGCTACTCAGGAGGCTGGGGCAGGAGAATCACTTGAACCTGGGAGACGGAGGTTGCAGAGAGCTGAGATCGTGCCACTGTGCTCCTGCCTGGGCGACAGAGCAAAACTCTGTCTCAAAAAAAAAAAAAAAAAGTGTGGAGGCAGAGAAAAAGTCTCAGAGGCAAGAAGGTGTCTGTGTGTTTGAAGGCTCACACTGTGCCGTCGTAGCTGGTGCAGGGTGAGTGAGGGAAGGATGATGAAGCTGAGGCCCAAGAGGTAGCGGGGGACAGGCGTGCTGGCCCGCACCTGTAATTCTACCACTTGGTTAGGCCGAGGCGGGAGGATTGCTGCTCTGAGCTCAGGAGTTTAAGCCCAGACTGGGCAACATAGTGAGACCGTATCTCTATAAAAAAGAAAAATAGGCCAGGAATGGTGCTTCACGCCTGTAATCCCAGCACGTTGGGAGGTCGAGGCAGGTGGATCACCTGAGGTCAGAAGTTTGAGACCAGCCTGGCCAACATGGTGAAACCCCATCTCTACTAAAAATACAAAAATTAGCCAGGCGTGGTGGCAGGTGCCTGTAATCCCAGCTATTCGGGAGACTGAGGCAGGAGAATCACTTGAACACAAAAAAAAAAAAAAAGAAAGAAAAAGGTAGCAGGGGCCGGATCACCTGGGGTTTGGGGCTGGCTTAAAGGGTTTGAATTTTATTTTATTCAAAAAAAATTCTTAGAGACAGGGTCTCATTCTGTAGCTAGGCTGGAGTGGAGTGGCATGGTCACGGCTCACTGCAGCCTGCGACTCCTGGGCTCAAGTAATCCTCCAGTCTCAGCCACCCAAGTGGCCGGGGCTGCAGGCATGCACTGCCATGCCTGGCTAATTTTTTTATTATTTTGTAGAGATGGGGTCTTACCAGGTGCAGTGGCTCATGCCTGCGATCCCAGCACTTTGGGCGACTGAGGTGGGTGGGCCACTGGAGTTCAGGAGTTCGAGACCAGCCTGAGCAACATGGTGAGACCCTACCTCTACAAAAAAGGAAAAGACAAAAATTAGCTGGGCGTGATGGCATGTGCCTGTAGTCCCAGATACTCGAGAGGCTGGGGAGAGAGGATCGCTTGAGCCTGGGAGGTGGAGGTCACAGTGAGCCGAGATTGTGCCACTGCTCTCCAGCCTGTGCAACAGAGTGAGACTCCATCTCAAAAGAAAAAGAAATGAACATTGGGCTGACAGAACTTGCTGATTATTGGGAACGGGGTCCGAGAGGAGGGTTCTGAATGGCTCTGGGACCTTCCACAGTGGATGGCAGGTGGATAATGGGATTTGCAGACCCAGGACGCAGGGGAGGGTTCCCGAGGGGAATAGAACACCGGGAGCTGCCTGTATTCAGGAGGAACATCAAACACGGGGGCTGCGTCCTTTTCTTTTTTTATGAGACGGAGTCTCACTCTGTCCCTCTGGCTGGAGGGCAGTGGCAGGATCTCGGCTCACGAGCTTGGCTCACTGCAACTTCCACTTCCCGGGTTCAAATGATTCTCCCGCCTCAGCCTCCCGAGTAGCTGGGACTACAGGTGTGTGCCACCACACCTGGCTAATTTGTGTATTTTTAGTAGAAACGGGGTTTCACCATATTGAACAGGCTGGTCTCGAACTCCTGACCTCGTGATCCGCCCGCCTCGGCCTCACACAGTGCTGGGATTACAAGCATGAACCACTGTGCCTAGCCACAGGGGCTGCTTTCTATGCCCACTCCAAACTGTAAGCCAGGGGCACCAGGGCAGCTTGAGGTTAGGTGCCAATTCAACAGCAAATCCTCATGAATGACTTTTTTTAGGGTTTTGTACAAAGACAGCTTGTGCTCATGAGCACTGTTTTTTTGTGTGTTTGTTTGTTTTGGTGGGGGGGTTTCTATTTTTTGAGACAGAGTCTCACTCACTCTGTTCCCAGGCAGGAGTGCAGTGATGCAATCTCGGCTCACTGCAACCTCCACCTCCCAGGTTCAAACGATTCCCCTGCCTCAGCCTCCCAAGTAGCTGGGATTATAGGCGTGGCTAAATTTTGTATTTTTAGTAGATGGGGTTTCATCATGTTGGCCAGGCTGGCCTCAAGTGATCCATCCGCCTCGGCCTCCCAAAGTGCTGGGATGACAGAGGTGAGCCACCGTGCCTGGCCTTTTGTGGTTTTTTTTGAGACGGAGTCTCGCTCTGTCTCCCAGGCTGGAGTAAAGTAGGGCCATCCTCAGCCTCCCGAGTAGCTGGGTTACAGACATGAGCCACCGTGCCTGGCCCTGAGCATTTTTTTTTTTTTTGCAATGGAGTCTTGCTCTGTTGCCCAAGCTGGAGTGCAGTGGCACAATCACAACTCACTGCCACCTTAAACTCCTGGGCTCAGGCAATCCCGCCTCCGCCTCCTGAGTAGCTGGGACTGCAGGGGCACGCTACCACACCTGGCTAATTTTTACATTTTTTGTAGGGAAGGGGTCTCACTATATTGTCCAAGCTGGCCTTGAACTCCTGGGCTGAAAGGGATCCTCCTGCCTCAGCCTCCCAAAGTGCTGGGATTACAGGTGTGAGCCGCCATGCCCAGCCTTGAGCGTTTTTTAAAGTCATGATGGCTTTCTCCACCTGCCATTTGGAAAGGGAGGCAGGTCAGAGCAGTGGCCGATGGGAGAGGCCCTCTGCAGCTTTGAGGCCAGCTCCTCCTGTGTCCCTGGCAGCTGGCTGTGCGGTTTAAGGGGAAGCACTGTCGCTCCTCTGGCCTGGGACTCAGGAGCTCTGCCCAGCTTCTGCCTCTCTAGGGTTACTGCTGGGAAGTCCCTTCCCCTGTTAGGACCTGAGTTCTCCCATAAACAGGAAGGGACCAAATGCAGTCTGAAGCCTTTTCTAGCTCCTGAAACTGTGGTTCAAGGCAGGGCTATGCTTCCCCCTCCCAGCCCTGGCCCCATGAGCCTAGCTCTGTGCCTGGCACTGTACTGAAGCCTAAGAGATGCCCACCACGGGCTGGGCACGGTGGCTTATGCCTGTAATCTCAGCACTTTGGGAGACTGAGGTGGGCAGATCACTGGAGGTCAGGAGTTCAAGACCAGCCTGGCCAAATGGTGAAACCCCATCTTTTCTAAAAATACAAAATCAGCCAAGTGTGGTGGCACGTGCCTGTAATCCCAGCTACTCTGGAGGCTGAGGCAGGAGAATTGCTTGAACCTGGGAGGCGGAGGTTGCAGCGAGCCGAGATCGCGTCACTGCACTCCAGCCTGGGGGACAGAGCAAGACTCCGTCTCAGGGGAGAAAAAGATACCCACCACCAGAGCGGGCGCCAAATCCTCATCTACTGGGGACCCATCTACCCTGAGAGTTTGGCCTTTGGGCTCACTCCCAGGCAGGGACTCCTGCTGCTGCTGCTTGATTACCCCTGTAACAGAGAGCTCATTACCTCTCCAGGCCCATTACCTCTCTGTTCCATGGCCCACCCCACCATCCCTCGACAGCCCCTGTCTAGCCAGCGTGATTTTCCCAGTGCCCTCTACCCACCATAAACCCCAGCCCCCCAACAGCCTTGCTCTAACAGAACCAGTTGTGCTGAAGGTGGGGTCTTTAGAAGCAGTGCTGCATGGTGAAGACGGCTGACTCCTGTCTGGGCAGGGCTTTCTGGAGTCTGTGGAGCTAAAGACATTAGTATAGTACAAAGCTGAGCTTGGTGCCTGGCGCTCCCGGCTGCAAAGTGACACAGCACCTCTCAGGCGTGAGCCGTAAATCTCAGACTTTTCCGGAAGCTCGGAGTTGTTCTTGCTATGTAGTGGTACCTGACTGTTTCTATTCTTTTCTATTCTTTTCTTTTCTTTTCTTTCTTTTCTCCTTCCCTCCTTTCCTCCCTCCCCCCTTCCTTCCCTCCCTCCCTTCCTCCCTCCTTCCTTTCCTCCCTCCTTCCTTCCCTCCCTCCCTCCTTCCTTCCCTCCTTCCCTCCTTCCTTCCCTCCTTCCTTCTCTCCCTCCTTCCTTCCGTCCCTCCCTCCCTCCCTCCCTCCTTCCCTCCCTCCCTCCCTCCTTCCTTTCCTCCCTCCTTCCCTCCCTCCCTCCCTCCTTCCTTCCTTCCCTCCCTCCCTCCCTCCCTCCTTTCTTCCTTCCTTCCCTCCCTGCCTCCCTGCCTCCTTCCTTCCCTCCCTGCCTCCCTGCCTCCTTCCTTCCCTCCCTGCCTCCCTCTTTCCTTCCCTCCTCCCTCTTTCCTTCCCTCCCTCCCTCCCTCCCTCTCTCCCTCCTTCCTTCCTGCCTTCCTTCCTTTTTTTCAACACAGTCTTGTTCTGTCACTCAGGCTGGAGTATAGTGGCACTATCTCAGCTCATTGCAACCTCCACCTTCTGGGTTAAAATGATCCCCCTGCCTTACTCTCCCGAGTAGCTGGGATTACAGGCATGCACCACCACTCCCAGCTAATTTTTGTATTTTTAGTAGAGACGGGGTTTCACTGTGTTGATCAGGCTGGTCTCAAACTCCTGACCTCAAGTCCTCGGCCTCTCACAGTGCTGGGATGACAGGCATGAGCTTCTGCACGTGACCATGTTTCTACACTTTACACCAGCTCCATGGGAGGCCCCTGAGGCTGCCTGCCTCAACCCCAGGTAGTGACAGTCCTGCCATGTCCTGGAGCAGGAGTGAGACATCAGATGGACCTGTTCAGGACGGGGCAGGTCTCACGCCCGCCTGGATCCTTCACACCCAGCGTAGCCCCCAGATTTCACACGTGGGGTGGCAGTGACTCCAGGCCTTAACTGTGGCAGGGATGTGCAGACCGAGGCCCAGAGGGGAGGGCTGGGCAGTCCCGGAGATGCTCGGCGGGACCTCTGTGATAGTCATGCTTGTGTTTTCCAGGCCCGAGCTGCTCACTGATGGAGTCAAAGAGCCCATCGTGGATAGTCAAGGTACTCTGTGTGGGGCCTCGGGCTGCGGCATGGGCGGGCATGGGAGGGTCCCACGCCTCTGCCACCAGCCCCTCCTCCTGCTGCCTCTGTCCTGGCCCCATCCTGGCCCTGGCATTCTCTCCACACCGCCCCCCTGCAACTGGGTTTCTCCTAACGATGCCATCTTGGGTCCCAGGAACTGCCACCTCACTTGGCTTCTCTCCCCCTGCCCTGCCCCCAGAGAGGGACTCCGGGGACCCTCTCGTGGACGACAGCCTGAAGAGACAGGGCTTTCAAGGTAAGGTTGAGCTCGAGGGAGGGCTGCTGTCCCAGTGCCGTGACCTTGACCTGGTTTGGCTTTGGAGGGCCAGGTTGGAAGTGGGGAGGAGCTGGCCCCCGACTTCAGGGCCTGAGGGACCAGGCCAGCCAGGTTGGCAGCCCAGGGTTGGCTGTACCCTGCTAGCTCTGTGTTAAAGACTCTAGGGGAGATGGGGTGGGTGCCCACAGGTGGATGGTGGGGTGGATAGGGGGGTGGGAGGGTACAGGGCCCCCTACCTGCCCCTCCCCCTGCCTGGAGAGATAGGTGACACGCCCACTCCTTATTCACCAATCAATCAGCTGTGCACTTAGTGCTTTGAAATCAGAATAGGAGCTGGCGGGGCACCTCACGGCTGTAATCCCAGCACTTTGGGACGTCAAGGCTGGAGGATTGCTTGAGACCAGAGGTTCTGCCAGGAGTTCAAGACCAGCCTGGGCAACATAGAACCCATCTCTATGCCTATATTTACAATTTTAAGAAACGAAATCAGAGGCAGCGCAGTGGCTCACGCCTGTAATCCCAGCACTTTGGGAGGCCGAGGCGGGTGGATCACTTGAGGCCAGGAGTTTAAGACCAGCCTGGCCAACACGGCAAAACCCCATGTCTACCAAAAAAATACAAGAATTAGTCGGGGGAGGTGGTGTGCACCTGTATTCCCAGCTACTCAGGAGGCTGAGTCAGGGGAATCGCTTGAACCCAGGAGGCGGAGGTTGCAGTGAGCTGAGATTGTGCCACTGCACTCCAGCCTGGGTGACAGAGCGAGACCCTGTCTCAAAAAAAAAGGAAAAAGAAAGAGAGAGAAGCAAGGAAGGGAGGGAGGGGAGAGGGGAGGGAAGGGAAGAGGGAAAGGAAGAGGGAAGGGAAAGGAAGAGAGAGAGACGGCGGGACGGAAAGAAAGAAGAAAGAAAGAAAAAGAGGAAGGAAGAAAGAAAAGCAAAGAAAGAAGAGAGGAGAGAAGTGAGGGAAAGAAGGAGGGAGGGAGGGAGGGGAGAGGGGCGTGTCGCTGAGGTCAGGTGGAGGAGGCTGGGGCTGGGCTGGGAGGCAGGAGGTGGAAGGAAGGAAGGAAGGAAGGAGAGGAATGGAAGCAGGGAGACACTTGAGGAAAGGCAGGAGGAGGATGGAGCAGCAGGAAGGCGCCAGGGTCTGAGGGGGGCGGGCAGTGCCGTGTGGAGCCCCCGTGTAGGGGCTGCTCTGAGAAGCCGCGGTGTGGCTGCCAGTGAGTAGCAGAGGTGACTCTGTGGCCGCCGTGGCCCTGAGGAGAAGGGTTGACGGGCCCAGTGGTGGGAAGGGTCACAGGGTGGGGGAGCCCAGAGAGAGGGGACCCAAGTCCCAGAGGGCAGCTGCTCTCTGCCTCTGGTCTCTCATACTCTGGAGCATTCCATGACAAGGGGAGTTGACGACTCTCTCCTCACCAGAGCTCCTCGTACGCAGCCCCCTTAGCAGACTGAGACCCTCACTATCAGCCCGGCCCCAGTGCCCGTAGTCACTCCCTCCTCCCCTCCTCCCCGCCCTGAGGTCAGGGGCCCATGGTGGTCTGGGGCCCCCCGGTACATGCTGGCACTTGCCTTTTTTTTTTTTTGAGACTGAGTTTTCACTCTTGTTGCCCAGGCTGGAGTGCAGTGGCATGATCTCGGCTCACTACACCCTCCACCTCCCAGGTTCAAGCGATTCTCTTGCCTCAGCCTCCCTAGTAGCTGGGATTACAGGTTTGCACCACCACACCCAGATAATTTTTGTATTATTAATAGAGACGGAGTTTCACCATATTGTCCAGGCTGGTCTCCAACTCCTGACCTCAGGTGATCCGCCCGACTCCGCCTCCCAGAGTGCTGGGATTGCAGGCGTGAGCCACCGTGCCCGGCCACACTTGGGGGTCTTTAATCAACACCCTCTGGGTGAGTGAGTGCCTAATGGGAGCTGCCAGGCCCATCCTCTGTATCCTTGAGGACTGCCCGTCCCCCACCATCTGCTGGGTCAGCTGGGATGTGCCCCCTCCCTTGTGTCCAGCCCCCCAGGGACTTCATGAAGCCCCCATTCCTTACCTACCAGCCCGGGGCACAGGAGTCCGCTCTTCGAGGCATCCCTCATCTCCAGGGCTTATTTATTGGTTTGGTGGTTTTCAAATGTCAGCAATTAACTTAATTTCCAGCTCATCGCTGTTGTGGCAACAGTGTGTGTCCTGGAAAAAACACATCTCCATCAAGACGGTGCTGAAGGACCTGAGGGGCCCACTCCTAAGATCCGCTAATTGCCAGAGAAGGAGCTCCCCATAATTAGAAAATCATATTCCTTAAAAGTCACCAAGTGCCTTTTCACTGAACAGCCCAAACCCGTAATCGTTTTGTGCTTTGCAGAAAATTACGACGCGAGGCTCTCCCGGATAGACATCGCCAACACGCTGCGGGAGCAGGTCCAGGACCTTTTCAACAAGAAATACGGTGAGCAGCGGGGAACCCCCGGGGGAGGAGCACACACCTGCTCTGGGCAGAGAAGTGGGAGGCTTCCCAGTCCCAGCAAAGGCATTTCTGGAGAAACTATTCACCCCTTTACACGTATTTCTTGAGCATTTACTATGTGCCAGGCACGGGATATTGCAATGAATAAAACAGACGTAGTCCCTGTGCTCATGAGCCTTGCAGACCAATGAGGTGAGACACACTTTCAACAACTACACACAGGATTTAATAGACAGGGGCCCGGCTCAGTGGCTTACGCCTGTAATCCCAGCACTTCTGGAGGCTGAGGCAGGAGGATCACTTGAGCTCAGGAGTTGGAGGCCAGCCTGGGCAACATGGTGAAACCCCATCTCTACCAAAAATACGGAAAGTAAATTAGCCAGGTGTGGTGGCAGACGCCTGTGGTACCAGCTACTCAGGAGGCTGAGGCAGGAGAATTGCTTGAGCCTGGGAAGTGGAGGGTGCAGTGAGCCGAGATCGCACCGGTGCACTCCAGGCTGACAGGCTGAGCAACAAAAGCAAAACTCTGTCACCCCCCCCAGAAAAAAACACTGGGTGTGGTGACTCATGCCTATAATCTCAGCACTTTGGGAGGCTGGGATGGGCGGATCGTGAGGTCAGGAGTTCAAGACCATCCTGGCCAACATGGTGAAACCCCGTCTCTACTAAAAATACAAAAA